GAAAGAAAACGTTTACCTTTGCTGCTTGATATAAAATGTTTGAAGCCTTATAAACTGCAAATAAAAGGAGAAGCTGTTGTTGGCTTACTCTGTACATCAGGGGTCCCCAACTCCAGGCCTCGAGGGCCGGTGTCCTGCAGGTTTTAGATCTCACCCTGGGCCAACACACCTGAATCACATGATTAGTTCATCACCAGGCCTCTGGAGAACTTTAAAACGTGTGGAGGAGGTCATTTAGCCATTTGAATCAGCTGTGATGGATCACAGACACATCTAAAAACTGCAGGCCCTCGAGGCCTGGAGTTGGGGACCCCTGCTGTACAAGAAGATGAGGCATTTTTAACTTGGTGCTGAATATCGCTGTGCTTAATGTGGACCCATTCCTGTGTACTCTGAGGACTAGGAAACTTCTGTCAGTGTGTGGCACCTCTGCTGAGGCATTTTTCATTACATGACCCAGAGTGGATAATCTCTTCAGTATTCCTCCTGAGGAAATGTGAGAGAAAGTTACCATTTACATTTTTATGTACCACACCTTCTCCAACAGGAACCAAGGAAAATGACACATCTGCCTGTGTTTACAAATGTGAGCGCTACAGTACAGAGTTGCAGTTCATTTAACAGAAAATGCTTAGCAGACAAATTCTAAACTTAAAGTCAAACCACTATTTTTCAACTCATTGATGTGGAGGCTCTATGGAGAGCATCTCTGAGCAGTATCTCATTGATGACGATGAATGTGGTAAGGCGTCAGTGTTGTGCCTCGGTGTTCTGCACCATCTTCAGCTGGAGAGGTTCCTCCACTAAGCCCTTAAGCTTCTTAAGGCACACAGCTCCACTTAATTAGAGTAAATGAAAGACAGCACTTAAAATGTACGATTTTAGTGCAACAGTTTGGTTGGAATACTTCTGATTATTTTGCAAAAGAGTTATCGTTATAACCGCCATATTTATTCCATCAGTTTGAAAGCCAACAGGCTTCTGTGGGTCTTGGCTCTAAACATGTAGTTTAAAGATTAAGTGAAGAGTTAGATCACAGAGCCAAAGCTTTGGCCTTCATTGGAGTTCATTGGTTCTCATTCATGAAATACTCTGATAGATGTATTTAACCAGGTTTGATGTGAATATCTTTTTCTTCATTTGAAGAAAACCTGAGCGGTGTGACTCTGTTGTTCCAGTAGCACTTACACTTACACGTTCAAAAGAACGGTTTTGAACGTGGTTGGGTTGTTGAACTGCATAAGCAGCGCCATCACTGCTGAGGTGGGACGCAGTAAGACAGTCATTTGGAATTTCTTAAATGATCCTGAGGGTTATGGAACAAAAAAGTCAAGTGGAAGACCCAAAAACTGTCACCAGCACTGAGCTGGAGGATCCAGTTGGCTGCCCGTCGAGACACTGGACGATCCTCGACCCAAATTAAGACCGTTGCTGGTGCCCACCGCAGCTCCATAACCATCAGATGGCATCTGAGACTGGAGGGTTCAAAAACATAAAACGTCTTCAAAGGCCTCGTCTCCTTGAACACCACAGAACTGACCGTTTGGACCAAACATGGGACGCTGAAAGGTGGAAGAACGTTTTATTGCGTGATGAGAACAAATGCAACCTTGGTGGTCCTGATGGTTTCCAACATTACTGGCATGACAAGCAGATCCAACCTTTTCTGCGCTCCACAGTGGAGGGGGCGCCATAATGGTCTGGGGTCTTTTTCCTTCAGTGGAACAACAGAGCTTCAGGAGGTGCAGGGGCATCAAACGGCCGCTGGCTGTGTCCAGATGTTGCAGAGAGCATCCCTCATGACTGAGGGCCCTCGTCTGGGTTTTACAACAGAACAACGCTACAGTACACAATACCCGCAGGACAAGGGACTTCTTCCAGGAGAATAACATCACTCTTCTGGACTATCCTGCGTGTTCCCCTGATCTAAACCCAACTGAGAGCCTTTGGGGGTGGATGGCAAGGGAAGTTTACAAAAACGGACAGCAGTTCCAGGCAGTAGATCCCCTTCATGCGGCCATCTGTTCCCACTTGGAGAAATGTTCCCATCACCTCATGGAAACGCATCAAGCATGCTGCAATACATTTTTGAAGTGATCAACAATAACGGTGGAGCTCCTCACGACTGAGCTCATGTTTGGATCTTTGATTTCTGTTTTAGGGGGTTTACGGGGTTTTTTTGGAGGTGTGGTCCTAAACTTATGATCAGCTGTAACAGCCTGTTTCAGTTTAAGCATTGTTTTCAATAAACTGCATGCTCAAAAAAAACGTTTTGTCTCACTCCCATTTCTTCTTGTTGCATGTTGAAGCTCTACTTGGAACCTTGTTAAGATCCAAACATGCAAAACAGGATTTTTTGCCATTTTCAAATGGTCTTAAACTTTTGATTGGGACTGTATAAACCATCTGGAGCAGGGTTTGCAAACTCATTTTACATTGGAAGCATATCTAGCTGACTTTGATCATATGTGGGTCACACCAATGAAACTGCCCTTTCTGCCAGTGTTCAGAAGTTTAACGACACATTTAGTCCCTGAAATATCTTGTATACAAAATGAAGTGCTATTTTAACAGAAAGAAATCTGTCAGCACGACTCTTTGGCTATAGTTTTAAGAATTAAATGCGGAAAATGACAGAAACCTATGGCTTAATTACTTCTGTGTAGCATGAATGGCCATGCAGGAGGTCTTTATCAGTAGGAAAAGCTGTAAAACCTCCAAATTGCAGTTAAATTTTCAGTTTTCCTTCACATTTTCCAAAGCCATCCAGTCAGCGGGATTTAAGTCCTGCTGAACCGATTATGACCCCCGGGTCTTATGTTTGACACCCTGATCTTAGAGTGTCACACGCTGATTTGTGCCAATTTGTACTTTTATAGTTTTGAAAAGCAATTAGCAGACCCAACCAACAGACCATTGTGTCTACCATGCACAATCCCATGTCCTTGAGTTACGTGCAGAGATCACAAGCTTCTCTGTCTGAAACCGCAGCTCTGTATTTATAGCAGGGCTTCTTAGTGTCTTTCCTTGTTATTTAGAGATCAAGGTGTACCTGCTGCTTTGAGGCTGGACTAAGCTCTGGCTAATGTAGCGTAACCACACCCCTGAAACACTGCGAAACAGGAAGGATTGCTTTTTGCACTGTCTACGGTTGTCTTGCTACAAGACTTTCTGTTAATGAAATCTGTGTGTGTAAAAGAAGAAAAGAAGGGGTGGAAGATCAAACAAAGACAATAACAAACACTAATTATGATCATGGACAAAGCAGAGGAGTTCAGGAGGGATCTTTGAAGATGTAGTACTGGGAAAGAGAAGAGCTTGGACACATGTATGTAAATGCTGGTGTTCGAAGTGTTAATGTATGTGAGCCACACCATGGGAGCTCTGCTGAGCTGGTTTGCTATTCGCGTTCGTGCTCTGATGCTGCACAGCGGTGGTGCACTGAAGAAATGGAGAGTAAGTGCAACCTTTGACCTTTAACAGAATGTAGTATGTGTGAGTGTGGACTAGCCTGATGCTTCAAGCAGAAATGTTTTTACAAAGTAACAATGATATGGAGACATTTCATGCTTGAGGTTCTTCAAAGAGCTGACAGTGCAGACATGTATGAACAATAAGACTGCAGACTGTTCAAAGGTAGGTCTACAACTTATTGTTTTAATTTATTGTTTTATCAGTGAGGTGTTTTATGTACTTGTGTTTTATTGTATTGTATTTTATATTTGTATTTTATTGTACAGCACTTTGGTCAGCCTCAGTTGTTTTTAAATGTGCTTTATAAATAAACTTGACTTGACTTGACTTCTGTGCAGAAAAGCATAAACATTACTGTGACCTCTGTCTTATCTGTAGCAGAGGCAAAGCAATATAAACAAGAAGAAGGTTGGCTAACATAAGCATTTGATCCTGATATTTGTTAAACTGACCTTAAGTGGCAGCAGACAAGATTCAAGATTATTTATTTGTCACCTGCATACGAGTACAACACACAGTGAAATATAGCCTGACATGCTCCTCGACTGTGCAAAGAAGGAGAGAACCAGTACAACAGTCAGGAGCCTTCAGCTGCACTAGCTATTCATAAAATGACTCTCTCCATTTTCAGATGCACTTGTTTAAACTAGCTTGGTCAGTCTGATTGATGAGTTTTCAAGATGACCTTGAGTGTTTTGAATGGTGCCTAAAACAAAAAACAGGATAATGTGCAAAGCTTTGCATAGCACAATGCTAGAACCTGAAATAAACAGATACACAAAATCAACAAACGAGCATATACGATTTTGCACACAATTTAGTGGAATACAAAACACTGTGTGTGTGACTTGTACAGAGTGAGAGGCTCCCTGAACCAAAACAGCTACACAGCAATGTGCAGCACCATGCAGGACCCTCTGGTATGTGTCTAGTTGGTCAGGGCTTCATCCTACAGCAGGATAATGACTCAAAGCATTAGTGCAAGCTGTGTCAGAACCACCTCAGGAACAAAGAACAGGGCGGTGAGCTTGAAAACATGGAGGTCCAGCACAGTCTCCAGACTTAAACCCCATCGAGCTGCTTTGGGATGAACTGGACAGAAGAGTGAAAGCAAAGCAACTACAAGGTCCACATTTATGGGAACTTGTGCTGCAGATATGGGAAGAATTTTGGCAGATATAACAGCTGAACACAGCCGTGTAGAAATCAAATATTCGTCACAAAGGTGGCTACTCTGCTTAGGCTGCTGCCCCCACGACCCGGCCTCGGATAAAGCGGATGGAGATGGATGGATGGATAGATGGATGGATGGTGGCTACTTTGATGAGTTAATGAATTCTTTTTTTTGTTTCAACTCCAATTGGTTATTTGTACTATGCTTTCATTTCAGAGTGCAATGAGACATTAAACTGCATAGTTTTCAATAACAAACTGGACCGGTAGTGTATAAAATGATAGATATATGTCTGTGTGTGCTAAACTTGTTGGTTTGTTACTCAACCTCGTCTTCTTTAATGTCTCCACAGCCACGGGAAGCCCCTGACGACTCTCACAGCCTCTCTGCAGCAATGGACTCAGAGGAGAGGGGCTTTGGTACGATTTCCCTGAAGTGGTGTGAGCATAGCACAGGAGATGGGGAAACATTTGAGTACTTTGACTCCTGCTCATGGCACAGTGACATCCTGTCAGATTTTAGTGGAGAAGGAGAGGATTCTGTGGACGCTTTGCTGCGACTGGAGGATGCCTACATTTTTCGACAAACAATAGGAGTCAGCGTCTGCAGTGGGCACACTAAGGCTCGACGCAGAGAATCAGTATCAGCAAAGGACAGCCACCGAGATGTCACAGAGACTTATGTCAAACAATCTACTTACAGCATGAAAAAAGGACCAGAAAACTGTGTGGCACCAAATCTTCCTTTGAAACTCATCAAAAAAGACCTTTTTTCAGTTGAGATCCAACCTCATTTAAACACAGAGAAACTAAAAGAGCAGTGCAGTTTACAAACTGTTGTTACAGGCGGCACGGAGCCATGCAGTCTGCATATTCAAAAGCAACACAAAACGGAGACATTTGATGCAAAGGTAAACACTTCAGACACGCAAGTAGTGAAGTTGCTTGTACAACCTGAGGACAACAGTGGGGACAGACTGAATAGAGACTAGGAGACACAGGACAGTACTGTGGAGACACAGCAGCAGCATTGTGCACATGAAAACAAGACACATTCACAGATTTAAGAAGAAGAGAGAAGGCATGTGGAGTAAAATTAGAAACATGTAACGTTGAGGATGTAGAAGTACAAAATCCTGACCTGCTCAGCACTTATGTGTAAATAACAGTTCCTCTTATTCTAAACAGGGAAAACATTTACAGGTGCAATCAGTGTCAAATACAATGTGGAAAAATGCACAGCGAAGACAAAACAGACTTACGTGAGAGTGATATAACATGCATGATAAAAACAAGGGTAATAATACCGATGCAGCAGTTCTACCTTCAGAGATATCAGAAATATGCAAACGTGTGACAGTATTTCTACATCACCACACTCGCACAGAATCCAAACACCATAGAAGAACACGGCACAAAGACAGTTCATGCATCACAGAAGCTGATATATGCACCCAATCCATAATTAACTGTATTTGCACGTAAGGTGGATATTTGCTGTTCACAAACTCTGTTTGAAGAGATCCCCAGCAAGTAACTGTCAGAGAGCCACCCTTCGGTTTGTGCTACTGCACCAGAGCCCCAGGCTTGGGTGCTGGGTGGACTTTGAGTGTGTAAGCACTGCAATAGAGGCAATGATCTTGCATGATTTTTTTCTTCTATCCTTTTTCCATAGAGACCACAGCCTGCTTTCCTTCTGATACCTGCCCTCTAAGGTGTCTGTAGCCCCGTCAAGGTGGCTCTTCTATGTCGTGCTATACATTTATGGATGTTTGGTTTCTCCGATGTACAAGTCTAAGCACTCCTCACTGCACTGCAGAGCATACACTGTTGCTTAGTTTGCGTTTGGGAAATATGTCCTGGCCAGTTGTTGCCTGAGTGTGTGGCTGGGTCTGATGTGCTCTGGGATGTCGTGCTTGGAGAAGATTCTCCCGAGTTTCTCTGACAAAGCTGCTACATAAGGGATGACAGTGTTGTTCCATTTGTCATTCTGTTTCTCACTAGTTGGTGTCCGACCTCCTTTCGTGCGCATCTTTGCACAGTTGGGGTTGTTGTGAAAATTCAGTGCATTTGCTCCAGGCCCAGGAGTGTCAACAGCGCCTGTACAACACAGGACTCAGGGAATTTTACTGGGAGAAAAAATGCTTGTATTACTCCCTTCAAGTTCAAAGTTGCTCACCGAGTGGCAAGGACCCTTTGTGGTCACACGGTGAGTGGGCAACGTTGACTATGAAGTGGTACGGTCACACAGCTACATCACCTCAAAGTCCGAAAAGCATGGAGAGAGGCTGAAACTGCATCTCTGGTGAGCCTGGTTAAGGAGATATATGAGCTGGGGCCGGTGGTGCCAAATTCCCCCACTGCTGCCTCCCTCCGTTGTAATAACCATTTTACACAGGCCCAGAGAGCAGGTGTTGCTGCACTGCAACAGTCGTTTGCTGATGTGTTCAGCAAACGACTGATAAAAAGCTTCGTATGAGCACAGTGAGTGTTGCAAATACTGACTGGGGTTAGAAGTGGAGCTGAAACCCAGCTCGCAATGTTGGATCTGCTGCCTGCGTATTGTAGGATCTACCTTACTGTCAGGGCTCGGCCGTCACAGCCGAGTGACGGATGTTGCACAGTTCTTCAACTAATAATCTAAGGCGCTTGGACAGAAAGCAACTGGACTTCTTTAAGTTTCTTGAAGATGTGCTTTCTTCTATTTGTGCAATACTTTCTTTCCCGAGGTGGCCAAAGTGCTTGCACAAAAGGGGGTCATATGATTGTCTTTGTATTATTGTAGGGTCTTTAGCTTTCAACATAAAGTGCCTTGAGACAGCTGTTGTTATGATTTGGCGCTATATGAATAAAATGGAACTGAATTGAATTTAACTAGGGAGCCCACGACACATCAATGTTTTCATCTGTTGTATTATAAATATGTGATGGGGAGGCAGAGGTCTGGTGTGCAAATGTGATCGGGGTAAAGCTGGTTCTGTTTTGTAAAGAGATGTCTGCTGTAGTCATTTTCTGACAGTCTTTACTTGTACAATACCTAAAACCAAGGCAGTGAAAAGTGAGACTACAACAAAAGACACTATTCAAATACTCATGCAGGTGGGAGAGGCTTTTGAGGTTGTGTATTGGCTGCAAAGCAGTGATAGAAAATGTCTTTAATAATGAAAATAATCATTTAATAACCCAGGGATGACATATGCAAAGAAAAGAGAATTGGTCCAAGCATTAAACCCTGAGGGACTCCATAATTATTAGCCCCCTTATGAAAATGATGCATTTCTGAAGTATTTCCTAAGCACTGTTAAACAGAGTCACGAGTTTTCACACACGCATGCACGCATGCAATTAATTAACTGTTTTTTTCATGCCAATATATATCACAAACACATGTATACAAATGAAGACCATGATAGCGTGCATGCAAGAAGTGGCAGAATGAGGAGCCCTAAAAAGTAGTCATCAAGATCCACTTATTTCCAAAGTGGATATTTTTTTAAACAAAAAGAAATACATTTATTTCACAAAAATCCCCAAACTGACAGGCCCTCCTGATGATAGTTGTGTGTCCTTTGGTGAGATTCAAGCTGGGACCAGTCGATAAGCTTCCCTTTGGTCTTCTGGAGACAGCTGTTCACCAGGAAGGACGTGTGTTTTAGTTGTTGTGTTAGTAAAAAACACAACCTTCCAGGGATGGTTTTATAAGCAAAGGAATGACAGCAGCTGTTTAAAGCTATCTCCAACCCGATTATAGAGACTGATTGATACTGGAGAGGAGCCAGAGGTAAATGACAAGGAGAACCCCATTATAGAATTTCGGAGGAATAATATCCATTGGACATATGGATTGGAAATACAAACTTGGATAAAACTCAGACAACAGGGTAGTCTGAGGCACTTGGACAGGACATGGACATTGGATGACATGGCAGGAAAACCAGAAAGAGAGCAGAAGTAAGAAGTCTATTGATGAAAGAACTCAGGATTGTTCTTGGTGATTAAGCCAGAGAATCAGGATGTTCTCACATCTTTCAGTCGGTTGAACAAGATTAAAAACTCCTTCATGTTCTCATAGTGCAGAGGTTGGTAGAAAAAGCCTTGTCCAGGTCCCAGCTCACTGGAACGATTGGCAACCCTTCAGCCTTCAACCCACATAAGTCACATAAAGTGACTCAGATTGGAAATACATACTTACACCGCTCTGTCATTATTTAACCCACATGTTGTCTCTCGAACACCCATTCATGATTCAGGTTTGTCCAGTATGTGACTGTTACATGTTAATGATCCTCATCGGGGTGCCAATGAACAGTGATGATAATAAAACATGCTCTATTTCCACAGCTAGATGCCGGAGCCCCCCTGGAGCCCATCAAGGCCCACTGCTTCTCCCACAGCACCCCCATCGGTCTTGACTGCTTGGGCAGGAGGAGACAAATCTCTTATTCCTGTAAGTACCGACTCTGCTTCTGTTGGGTTTAGATTCTGGTGTCGTATTGTGGCAGCGTTTTTGACTGAGTGTTCGAACCTGTGCAGCTTTAGTCATCAGGGGCGATCGTGGCTCAAGAGTTGGGAGTTCGCCTTGTAATCGGAAGGTTGCCGTTCGAGCCCCGGCTTGGACAGTCTCGGTCGTTGTGTCCTTGGGCAAGACACTTCACCCGTTGCCTACTGGTGGTGGTCAGAGGGCCCGGTGGCGCCAGTGTCCGGCAGCCTCGCCTCTGTCAGTGCGCCCCAGGGTGGCTGTGGCTACAATGCAGCTGCCATCACCAGTGTGTGAATGGGTGGATGACTGGATATGTAAAGCGCTTTGGGGTCCTTAGGGACTAGTAAAGCGCTATATAAATACAGGCCATTTACCATCAGATCATGTCTCTGTTCAAAAAATGTCTGTTTATTTCATACTGGGCTGAGTATTTTTCAGCTCTGCTGACAGAGACTAATGAGGAATGACTAAGCTTACTTTCTAAATGTACCTGATCATGTTTTTCAGCTTTAGTTTCACAGGCACTTCCTGTTATGTAAAGAGGCACTGATGCCATTAAATACGAACATACAAGGCCTCGTGCATATTTTCATCATCTCTTTCTAATTAAATCAAATCAAATCACTTTTATTGTGACATCACATGTGCAGGTACATTGGTACAACAAACAATTATGTTTGTTGGGTCTGTGTTTCCACAAGCCCCGCTAATTCTAGAGACTTATTCATCATGAAGAAAACAAGACAGTCGATTGATCGATCACTTGCGCAAGGGAGGCCTGTGTCCACCACGAAAATCACCCCGACTCTGACCTCCTCCTGCTGCCTTTTTATTGAGAGACAGTTCACACAAAACACATCATAGCAAAGCAACGCCCACTTGGTTCTAAGACAAAGCATTTTATGTATATGTGTGAACTTCTGTAAGAATGTGTGTGTGTGTGTTACCTCCTGCTGACCAAAGGGTCATAAAAGCAGGAAGCTTACATCAAAAGAAGCAGATCTTCCAGGATGTATCTGCAATAAAACATTACAGCCCCCCACCTCGAGAATCTGGGGGGAAGGACAGTGAAATTCATCAGAGTTGGCAAGCATAAAAATGACAACATTAAACAATTCACTCTAACAATGTTTTTCATCTATCATCTTCCTGAGCAGTTGTTTTCCTACAGCTGCCACCATAACTATGACTATCAAAATGTGGGAGTAAGAAAACAAAGTTCAGCTGACTTCCATCTGCAGTCTAGTGGCCATTAGAACACGCCCACCACACACCTCCAGCCAGGTAACAGCACATATTTAGGTATAGATTATTCTGCCTGGCTTTGAGAGATGATACAGCTGAATCACATTCCTCTACTAAAAACGGTAGAGGATATTCACGTTGGAACACTTTACCTATATCGCTCATCTTACATCATTTAAAATGTGCACACACGCACGCGCACGCGCGCGCGCACGCGCACGCACACACACACACACAGTTCTTACTGTTTCTCTCTAAAACTAACCTCATAAGTTGGACATTCAACAATGACTTGTTTGTTGTTTAATACAGGAATTTATTTCTAGATGACATTAGTGGAGATAATCTCCTCGAATAATCAATAAATGAATCAATCAGTTGCATTAGTGGGTGTGGTCAGCTGCAGTGTTGTCTCTCCATATGCCTGACACTTCTGTCATGTATGTGTTTTTGATCTAGTTGTTGTTGGTGAGGGTCCGGGTGGGTGGCGTGTGGTCTGGGTCCTTGTGGTGGTGGATGCTGTCCTTAGGCTGAGCGGCTAGCTTCTTCGCCAGGGCTTCATGTGTGGGATCCTGGGCCCTGGTGCCTGGGGTCTCCTGGTGGAGGCCCTGTCTATGGTGGTACTCCACTGTTATTGTGGGCCCATGTTTTTTCTTAAAGGTGCAGGAGTTGGCCATGGATGGCACTTCTCTGTGTGCTAGTATGCTTTTATTCCATTTTCTCCTTTATATATTTATAATGTACTTGTATATTGTTCACATGTTGAAATAAATTACCAATCAATCAATCAATATCACACATGGACTGTAATAAGAAACTACTGATAGAAATTAATAATCAGGTAAAAGAAACACATGAAGAAGAGTTTATAGAGCTCATGTTTGGCCTGACGTCACATTCTGCTGGACAGGACAGGCTGAAACAAACGTAAACTTCACTGTGCTCTTATCAGCATTGGTCCTTCACTGCTGTCTGTCATTAACAGAGATGGGCAGTAATCC